TTATTAACAGTATGCAGAGATTTCAGATGTTTGATCCTTATGTGTGCAGACCAGTTATTTCTTTGATTATAAGTCATGCTTGGATGATGCATGACTTCTGCAATAATCTCTGCTGTCCATGAGTCAGAAAGACACCAACTTATATCTGTGGGTGTGGATTGTGCCATTGCATACAGGACTCAGGTGCTACATAACTCGGTCTGTAAAAATTTAAAGATATACAGGGCGGTCCCCGGGTTAAGAGCGAGTTCCATTCCTAAGCTTGTCTTTAACTTGAATTTGTATGTAAGTCAGAACTCATACTTATGAATGGGCTGCCTATTACTAAAAATGGGGGACAGTGTTCTCCCTCAAGCCAACGAGCCGCTGAAGCCATGCAGTGTTTTCATGAACCACTGAAAATAGACTGTATGTATATTAAAAGCATGTGACTTCAGCAGTTCATGAAAACATTGCTCAGTTTCAGCACTTCGTCAGCTCGAGGAACGCCGTCTGCCATTTTCAGTAATAGGCAGCCTGTTTGTACATATGAATTCTTTGTAAGTCAGACATTTTTAACCCAGGGACTACCTGTATTGCACTGTATTTACAGTAGAAATAGTTTGGGATTTTAATGTAAAAGGCCTCAATTCACTGAGGACATGAAACTTAATTGGCTAGACAACTTACTCCTCACAGTAGTCCTTTGAGCAAGCTAAGCTGTGAGATGTAATTGGCTAAAAGGCACCCAATGAGATCCATAGCTTAATAGGGATTTGAAGCTGGATTTCCCCAGATCTAGTCTAATATGTGAATTACTACATGGCATTGACCATCTCGGTATAATAACCCACTGGAAAGCTGAGGAGTAATAAGGATAATTTTTAACTGTGTTTAGCTGATATTTATCATTACATAAGCTGGCAGCCAATTATGCAACAGAGCTTCTCCCTTACTTCTATTCTGTACTTCACATACTCCCTCAAATTTTCACCAAGGATCTCCCAAAGGCATGGAGGTGGGATGCAGGGGGAATCAGTTTTACAGTAGTGTTGGCAATTTAATTTGTGGGTTTCTCCTACTGTTGTTGTTGTTATTGTTTTAATCCTGCTTTGCAGTATGGTATTTTCAAGATGACTTACAGCCGTTTTAAAGTAAATGATAATGTTAAAGAATAAGTAAAACACATACATCAAATTATCAAAAACCACAATCCAGGAGCCTGAAATATTTTTTAAAAAATGATATCAAAAAATTTAACAATTTTTGAATACAAATGAATAACTGAAGTATCAGAGCAGAGAAAGGACTATCTCATCTCAGAAAGTGGGAATACTGAGATGGTACTTAGATTAATATTGCAGGCATTGGGTAAAACATAACTGATTCCATTTGTGAGCTTCATGACTTCATGTGTTTTTACTGTATTGTTAATATTTATGTTCCAGAAAACTGAGAAAAGTGAATTTCTAAATTTTTTCTATAATCATTGTATGCACGTCCTCACTGCTCCACTTTTGGCAAATACATCAGAAGATAAAAGTGACAAAGGTAAAATTATTTTTTGTTCTCCTCCACCATTCTTATTCAGGATCTATGCTTGCTGAAGTTTGTAACAGAACCATACATTATGAACTTTGAATTCCATTAAACATGTATCAAGACCATACTGTATATGACAAAGGGAAACCTGCAGTCCATCAGCCAGAAATGGTTTTAAGACCTTCACATCCAGCCTGTCAAGATTCTTCCCTCAGAGCTTGTTTTCTTCCATTTCAATTGTCCATATGAAGGAGAATAGAAGCAATTCTTTTTCTTTTCTTTTTTATATTAATTTTATTTAAAATTACAATTTACAACAATGAAAACAAATGCAAACTAAAAAGAATAAAAAAAATAGGTATAGAAAAGAAAAAAGAAAAAAGAAAAAATAAGAATATATCCCATCTTTTATCTATAAACAAATCCATAAAACCTCATCATTTCAGTCCTGATATCAGCAAAAATCCATTAAGGGTTACCAGATAACAACCAGATAACAACACACCTATTTTAACCTTGATCAAATAAACCAACTTTATATTCCTTTTACTTCTAACAATCTTGATCTTTAGTTCCTTCAAATAATGTCCTAGAACTTGATTTCTTTTCATTTTTTCTTTGTCCCTTCTCACAAAATTCACCAAAGCTTTAACAAGACTCTTTTGTAGGTCCAATCTAGGAAAATTATCCAGATCACTCTGTTTGTTTGTTATTTGTATATCCCTTTTAATTATTAAGATATCAGCCAGTTTCTTTTGTATATCCAGTGTAACATCTTTTTCCATGTCATTCTTGTAGCCTGTCATTTTTAAATCCACTTTCAAATCAATCTCAGTCATGTCAAGTAATACTTGTTCCTCTTCCGCAGCATCTTTTAAACACAGTCTATCTATAGAGGCAGACACTCTTAAAATTAACTTCTGGTCCATTGTTCAAAAATATCCTTCAGTATGTCCAGTGTTAAAATATTTTGCTTCATTCTGTATCAGTAACTTGAGTTTGAGTGTTCTCCTTTAATTGTAACCTTTAGTACCTTCTAATTCCCTCTAGTGCCCAATTTTTAAAGTCTTATTATATTTTTTTAAGAATTCAAAACAAAGGCATTTTCCCATGGGAAGGATTCTTCATAATTAATTCCAAAATGTTATTTCAAATTTATCTGGACCCTTAGTTCTTTTGTAACTTTCTAAAATCAACATTTTAATCATGCTTTTGCTGTTTATTCCAGAAAAAAAAATTAAGTCCTTAAACTTATATTTAAAACTTCTTTCACTAATGATTGAAGGAAACTCAGCCAGTGCTGTAAAACATGTCGATCCAAATGTTCCTTATAACTGAAAAGTAGTTAACAAGCAATTTCTGAAAGTGATTAGAAAAGGAAGTATGCAAACCCAGTGTCCTTTTAAAGGCCCCGACTGCAGTTTGAGCAAGATGGCTATTCCCTCATCTCCCAGAGTTCTGAACCCACCGGAGGCCACCATCTTGTGGTCTCCTCATGAGGAGCAACTGTCTGGAGCACTTGTGGGTGATCTCAAGTCCTTTCCTTGTCTGGAGAGGAATTACAAAGAACCAGTCTCCTTGCTGGCTCTTCATTCCGCTGTGGTCGTTGGCTCTGTTTTTTTGAGGAGGCCTTTTTCAATTCACCATTTCATTCCCAGAAGTCAGAAGCAATTCTTCTTCCAGTTGTGGAAATAATCACTTCTCTTTGCTGACATCCATCTGAGCCAAAGAAGAATTGCTGGAGAGAAGCAGGGTGAAGCTTTTCATTCTCAAAGCTCTGTCCCTGAAATCACTGAAGTACTGGATGGGTGAAGACAAACATTTGAGCCAATATCAGTTTTTCAATCCTGATCCATGGTTTCATGCCTCAGTTATATAAATATGAGTTATACTTGTTTAATGGAAGACTATGGCCTGGTTAGACTATGGCTTTCACTCCCAGATTGTTTTCCCTAAACAGGGTGGGCCATTCACAAGCGCTTTTCCTTGTGTACTCCTGAGTCCCTCAAAATTACATCTTAATTTGTAGACCAACCCAAATTATATGTTAGTTCAACTTCCCAAATTGATAATGGAAAAATAATTTTTTGAACAACTGAATTGATTCAAACATATCAACTTAATTTCAATCATCAAGTTGTTCAATTTGGAGATTCTATTAAATTGCCTTTGAACCTAATCATATCATACCATTTTTGTGTAGGAATTTTCCAGCTGTTGAAGTCTTGTCAAATTTTACACAAAAAGAATGGCCATATTTTGAACAGTGCCTAGTACTTGATTCTCTTTTTAACTAACTTGTTTTACCCTCATGGGCTCAGTTCAATTATGAACAAGTTGTGGAAGTATGGTCTTCCCTCTGCATCTCCTTCCAAGAACAGAAAGAAGAGAATTTTTCAGCTTTAAGACTGCCACAGTTTCTTTGTGGTTTGAGAACAAAACTGATCAACAGGGGTGGTTTGATGCTGGCTTATTCTCATTAAAAATAGCTTAAGTAAATTGCACACACAAGTTTAGTCATCAGACAGAATTGCGTTTAACTTAAAAGAGAAAGGAGAGGGGTTTACAGAAATCTGAACTTTTGAGTTGAATTGGGAAAGCCAAGTCCTGAATCTTGGACACAAGAGTCTCATAATTTATGTTTCTGCCTGCCCGGTATGTTCTGACAGAAAGGGTATGCTCCAGGTCTCTTCTATTTAAATGTTGTCATCTTATGGTACCGAGGAAGGGTGCCTTTTCTGTAGCAGCCCCTGCCATCTGGAACAGCATCCCCACAGAGATATGAACTGAACCCTCTCTCCTAGGTTCCAAAAAACATTTAAGACTGGCTTTGATCTCAGGCCTGGGGTTGATGTGTTAGTGGAGCCCCTCATTTGGTTTGATTTGTTATAGTTTGATTGTTTTAGTCCGGACTGCCTGTGAGGTTATATGTTTTTAACTGTTTTTATTGTTTCATATTTTATTTGTAAGCTGCCCAGAAGTCTATGGGAGTGGGCAGCTATGATAAATTTTAATAGCAACAACATGTATAAGGTTTTGTTTTTTGTTTAAAGAGCAAAGCAGAACAGAAATCAGTAATGTCTTTTTGGAGTTGTATTGCCTAGCTGCTGATTATAGACTAGCCCCATGCTATTTTAAGGGTGGCTATAATGGAATTCCAGACAAAACTGGGTGGGCTCTAATGTTGTGATCTATATGGTGGTGAGTGAGCATCTTCCGGTATGTTTGTGAATCAAAAGTTTCCAGCCCTAATGGCAGCAAGATTATTATACACACAAAAATGGAAGAGTACTGAAATTCCCACAATGGTGAAAATGTCAGAACTTTTGAAATGGCAAAACTGACCTATTTGGCCAGGGAGAAAACAATAAGTGCTTTTCTAAAAGACTGGAAACCCTTTATGGACTTTTTTCTTAAAAGAAGAAAAAAATGAAATGATTTATGGATTTAATGATTGAAAAAGATGAGAATTAAATAAGGGGCTGAAGGGATTTCTGGAATAGTTAA